GGACACGATTGGCTTCCTGGGCTGCAAGTGCACACTGGTGGCTCATGTTGAGCTTCTCGTCCACTAGCACCCCCAAGTCCTTTTCTTCAGGGCTGCTCTCAAGCCAATCACTGCCCAGTCTATAGCGGTGCCTGGGATTGCCCCTATTTACCTGCAATGCTTTAATTCAGATCTCTGCCTCCCTGCAACAAGCACCTCACCCTCTCTGCTTCCATGTTACATGAAGTCCAGCTTGATATGGTTAGAATAATACAGTTTTGAAACAATTTAGGTGATTAAATGGATTGCTTAGTTGTTGGATCATGTGTACTTATATGGCTTACATTTGAAAAAAATACACTACTATATTGAGTAATAGAACTCAGGTGAATTTTGTTTTCAGGAATTGTAAAGGCAGTATATAATGCAGAGATACATCTGCATGTCAAATTTTTGCAGCTTACGTAATTTTATTTTGAAAAATATTCAGAAATGTTAGATGGATGCTCTACGCTACCGACATGTTCAGTATTCATTTTCCAGCTGCATATTATTAACCTGCTGTAGGGGCAGGGGAAAAGTGGAAATGGTAATAGTGGTGATTTTCTTACAGCTGAGCAGAGAGGCGGGACAGTGTTTTGGTGGGGAGGGAGCAGAATGCAACTTTTGGACAGGCTCTTTTTAATTGCACTTTTGAAATGGAAGCAATAAACTGATGTTCACACATTACAGTAGGGCAAATTGCAGAAAGAGAAATTATACGTGCGAAGCATATGTACAGAAAGAGACAGAGGACACAGTTCTGAAAGAGGAGGGCTGGGACCAGAGCAAAGCAGCCTGACAGGGCAGGAGAGGGGCTGCCCTCTGCCTGCTGGGGAGTTGTGCGGGGCAGGGAGGGAGAGCAGAGGGAGAAGCTGGTAGATCCTGCTGTACTGCCTTGTCTTCTCTGGCCATTTTATGCATCTTTTTTCAAGTGAAGATTTCCCCAGTCACATTTAGCATGGTCCAAGAAAACAAAAACTAGAAGGGTTAAAATGATTCTTTTTTTTTTTTACTCTGAAAATGTGGGAATCATATATCATGACACATGAGAAGGCAGGAGAGCTGCCTCAGGATTTGCAAGGGCTGGATGCTGACACCGCACTTTCCCCTAACTTCATTTTAGGAGAAGGAAAGAAAAACAGGACATACTTTTAAAGAAAGTGTGCCAGCATGCACTGATATACTTAAACTAAGATGTGCAATAAACCAGAAAATTATTCTTTTTAACTTATATTTAAATATGACATGGAATTGATTACAGTGTGGTGTTTGTTATAAGAAACGTAGTATTTTGGACTCAAGATGCAACTTTTCTTTTTTTGTTGTTGTCAGGCGAGTGTAAGTGTGAAGACACGTGGTCTGGATGCATAATGGGAGACACAGGGTAAGGCATTTCACTAGGGGAAGGTCATGTCCTTCATACAATGACATAAGGGAAAGA